TTTCACTCAGGCGAGTCTCGAACTCCTGAGCTCCAGCGATTCTCCCTCCTCAGCCTCCCACAGTGCTGGGATTACAGGCATGAGCCACCGCGCAGGGCAGGTGTGAATATTTTTGAAGTTATTGATGCCCATTGCTAAACACAGCTTTCCAGAGAGGTGGTACCAATTTTATTCCCACCAGGGCCTTTCAATCAGCTTTTCTCAAGGTCTTCACCAGCCTCTGCACCTGTTCCTGCAGCCCAGTAAAGCTCCTGTGGTCAGAGCCTCAGGGCCTGGGGGGCTGAGAAGAGTGGAGCTGGTCTGAGCTCACCAGAAAGTGCCAATGCATGCCAGCCCCCTCCACCTCCCACAGGATGTGCATCTCTCACCTTCTCCCAGGGAGAGGGAGCTCTTAGGCCCAAGTTTTGCAGGCTCTGCCCAGGCTCCTGGAACTGTGTATGCCCAAATGTTGGGGAGGTAGGGAACAGCAAGTTTCAGATGGTCTTAATGGTGCATTCTAAGCAGGTGTCCCCCTTAAAAAGCCCCTCAGCTGGGACTGTGCTGAGGGAAGAGAACCCTCCTATCATCTTAACCCGTTACCTGCTGCAGCCAGGGCTTCCAGAGGACCAGGAGGTGCTCGGTTAGGTCATTCCACTCCTACCCTTTGCTCATTTGAAGACCATGTCCCAACTAAATAAACTGAGGTCTTTTGTGAGGCAGACCTTCCTCTAGGGTAGTGGTTCTCAACCTTCGTAATGCCAGGATGTATTTTCATTGTTACAAAGGGGTCATGACCCACAGGTTGAGAACTGCTGCTCTAGGGCAAACAAGGATTGGCATCCACATGTTTCCAAGTTTCAGTGGACCTAGCAGATACTCCACTAAGACTCCCATGGTGCTGCCAGGATGGCCCACCTCCATCCCAACAGGCAGGGGACAAAGACCCATCCTCACCAGTGGCCACTTTGCAATCCTGAGCGTTGTCCACCTTGGTTACATATTTATGTCTCAAAACACTCAGTTCTGCAATCTTTTGTACCTATGTGCAATTCTATTCAATACCCTTAAACAAAAGAATGCAATGAGTCACTGTTCACCCATCCCAAGGACAAGGGTTTCTAGTTCAGGGACTTTGGGTGGGAGATAAAACTTCAGAAAAAATTGGGAGAATATTGGAGTTGCAAACATTTAGTTTTGCCAAATTGGGATAATATATATAACAATAATAAATTATCATTTACCATTCCATCTGGTTCCTCAAAATAAACATTTTAACACTAACAGACTATTGATGGGAAAAATGGATGATTTGGGGCCTCGTTCCCTAGCCTACTCTGACAAGGAATCGGATATTATGGGATTCTAATCAGTTGAGGTCCATTAAGGAGAAATTCTGTAAATTCATCCAGGAGGTGGGTGAGGGAGAGGCTCAGAGGGGAAAAGAAAACAGAGTTCAGGAAAGTGAAAAGCCCCCAAGTCTTAGAAAGGAGGAGAAAGAAGGAAAGAGAATGGAGGAGGGGACAGAGAAAGGAGTGAGGAAGAGCAAGAGAGAAGGGCAGGGGGGCCCTAACCCCCCAGGTGGTGGAGGAGGGCAGAGGAGGCCCTGGGCCCCCGGGCCACCTAAGATGTACAATGGGCTAAAATGTGCCTGACCTCTTGCCTTTTGAGCTGATTAAGTTTTGTTTGTATTTTTGTTTGTTTTCTTCATTCTCTCTCCCTCTACAGCAGCGGTTCTCAACCTGTGGGTCACGACCCACAAGAACTGTATTAAAGGGCTATGGCATTAGGAAGGTTGAGAACCCCTGCTCTACAGTATGAAGAATATACCTTTTTTTTTTTTCAAAGACAGTCTTGCTCTGTCGCCCTAGGTAGAGTGCAGTAGTGTCATCATAGATCACTGAAATTCAAACCTCTTCAAGCAATCCTCCTGCCTCAGCCTCCCAGGAGCTGGGACTACAGGTGTGCACCACCACATCAACTAATTTTTTCTATTTTTAATAGAGATGAGTTCTCGCACTTGCTCAGGCTGGTCTTGAACTCCTGAGCTCCAGTATCCCGCTTCAGCCTTCCAGAGTGCTAGGATTACAGGTGTGAGCCACCACGCCTAACCTCCTCTGTTTCTAATCTTGAACTTTTTATTTGCACCATTACCAAGGACTACAAGTTACTATCTTAAGATCCCTTGATCTTTCCTCGAACATTACAGGATCCCAAATCCATTTAACTCCCATCATTCCCTCCTCCCTTGCAGGACATTTTCTTCCAGTTTTTAGTTCTGTCCTTTCTTTCCCTCTTTCAACAAATTTGACAACATTGTTAATTACTATTTTTAACAGTTTATTGAGGTATAATTGACATACAATAAATTGTACATGTTTAAAGTATACTACTAGATAAGGTTTGGGGAGGGTTGTTTGTTTTGAGACAGTCCCCCTCTGTCAAACTTGGTAGAGTGCTGTGGCATCATAGCTCACAGCAATCTCAAACTCTTGGGCTCAAGCAATCCTCTTGCCTCAGCCTCTCGAGTAGCTAAGACTACAGGTGCCCACACAAAGCCCAACTAGTTTTTCTAATTTTTAGTAGAGACGCGGTCTTGCTCTTGCTCAAGCTGGTCTCAAACTCCTAAGCTCAAGGGATCCTCCCAGAGTGCTAGGATTACAGGTGTGAGCCACTGCACCCAACCCTCCAACTCTGTTCTTTATCAGATTGGTTTTGCTCTTCTATTTGCCTAAGATTTCCATATAGACTTTCAAATCAGCTTAACAATTCGTACCAAAAGAAAGCTTGCTAATATTTTGATTGGGATGAATTTGGGGAGAACTGACATCCTAACATAATTGATTTTTCCAACCC